TAAAGGGACAAACATCCCTGTACATACAGATATACCTTTGAATTTTGGTACTTGTACCTCAGAAACAGATTTTGTGTTATTTTCAGGAGGTACAGAGGAAGAAAATACATGAACTTTAAGTATTTTTCTTTTGTTTTGTTTTAAAATGGGATACAGCATTTCATAACCAAAGGTCGACAAAAAATAAACACAATAAAAGTCTTGATAGATTTTGTTCTTGCATACTTTTATTCATTTCTTTGAATGCTTTGGAAGGAGGGTCCGAGCTCAGAGGAGGGAGACCTTTAAACAGTTCACCACACTTTCAGTCAGTAGTGACAAATGTCCATCGCAGATATAAAGACCATCGACATTTCTGAGCTTTGGCCCCCCCTTTCCCAGACCACACCTTTACAAGATATGCAACATAGAGAAAATAAATAGATGCATGTTAAAGGCCTTTTCCATATACAAATATATTTTATGAAGCTTATTGTACAGGCATTTCTTTGTTTAACCTACAGCACAACATTTACACGAGAAGATGAAACAGTGAAGTGAAGGTCGATGCGCTGCGCCGTAGGCGACTGCACCGATTCATACTCGGAAAGTTGAGTCACGAATGCGGAAGAAGCAAGGATCCAAAAAGTGACGCGTCAGCAGTCGTCACATCTGCAAAGTTGTACTGGCACAAACGGAGGAAGCCACTTCGTTCTATAACATGCATTTCTAAAAACTGTGTCGGCACAAAACGAGGAAGCACGAACTGTAAAAACGTGTCGGTACAAAATATAGAAAGTTACACGATCTGCCCTCGGGTATTGACGCAAAATAAATGTCTCTGGATTATCAAAAATGGTTTGAAATACATTTGAGAATAAATTCCACAAAAGAATACGCGCTATGTTCACTCTGGAGCCTATTTTGTACCATAAGAAAAATACTCAGCTGCTCGCTTTGACTTGAGCTTCACGATGAATCGACTCAAACTTTTTTGTGAAGCAGAAATCCACCCATTCAAAAAAGGCACTTCTATCTCAAAGACGCATCATTGTAGTAGAGTGAGCTATATACAAAAGCAATGTACAAGTGTATAGAAAAAAAACGCTGCTATAATTACGTCTATTTGCTCTGAATAAATATTTGGTTTTATGAACTGTGACAATAACGCACAACTCAAGGCAAGGTTACGACATGTTAACTGCTCCTCCAGGTGTGCCTGTTGTTTGTAGCTGATCTTAACACACCCTCTAATGATTTATGTAAAACCCACTCTGTAGAATAATACACAGTAATAATATTGACGGTCATAACAGAAAGGACATAATAATGCACAGCTTGTTTTTGCTTCATCTCATTTTTTCTGCTGCCACCACTGTACCCAGCTGATGCTAGTAGCTTGCACCAAGTACCACTTTTCTGTTTTTCCTGAAGCTGAAAAACAGCACAGAGGTGAAACTGAAATCCAAGTAAAAGTCAGAGTAGTGGTACCTTTCAATATCCTATACCTTCAAGACGTTTTTTGGGGTGGAAACAGGTAAAAAAGAAAAACTTGCATATGTATTTTTTCCTGTGAGAATAAAATTTTGGGAGGAGAGTATTTAAATGAATCATAAAAACTGGTAGCAGGCAGTTTACTGCAAATTGTGCTCAATTTAACACTGAAAAAAGTTTATTTTGACCTGTTAGTTGGAGTGTTTTGTACGAATGAATGGCTTAAAGTTGTCAGCCCATCCTAAAGCTCTTCCCCCCAAATGCCTCCAGCGGAGCCCCACATGTTTCTGGTCCTCAGTAATACTGGTGTTTTCATGAAATGGATCAGAACGTAACTGAGTTTGAAGCGGAGCGTTGCAGAGAAGAAAAACGTCCCAGCAGAAGTTGCACCCCTGCAAAAATCCATCTTCTGCTGGGTTTTAAAGGCAGCCAAATTACTTTTTCAGAAATTTCATCCACCTCCACCTCCGAGACCTCACGCAACACTTTCCATCAGTTTCTAACAGAAGAGTACGTCAAAAACATATTTCTCCTCCAGCTGCCTCTCACTGAGCATTAATTTTTGCAGTTCTGGCCTCGTGCTAACAAGTTAATCTGGCCTCACCTACGAGGTTTACTCATGAAGCTTTTTCATTTTCTTGTTGAAGCAAAACATGCCTCAGAATGTCCGTGTTAATGATGAGACCACGTGAATGTAGCTTACTCTTCCACCTATAATAAACTCTAAAAAAATGTTGGTTCTGTACAACAACAGAGTTAAACATAAATATGTAAAGCAACCTAAAAGTCTACGTCACAATTCTGGCTTTGGAATCTAATATAACCCTTTATAGCAGCCAAGCCAAAAAACGATACAATAAATTCTCGTATGGTGAATAACACAGTGATAGTACAGACATAAATACTTACACATAGTAACAAAAACCATGCAAATGCGAGCAGAGGTGACCTGGAGGTGACAACTTCAAGCTATGAAGGCGAGAAAGATGAGTACAACCACCCCGCCCTCCCGCGGGCACCAGCTGAAATGAAGATCTTTTTTTGTTTTTTCCTGAAAAGTGAATATTTTCCTTCAGTTTTTGTCTCTTTTATGCCTCAGCTGGTGTTTGTATGCCTTGATAGTGGGTTTATGATCGCGTCCACCCTGCCGTCGCCCAACTGATAACTGAGCAGCGATGATAAATACGTTTAAAATACAACTTTTACTAGGATAACTCACGTGATCCATTTCTTCCCACTGACAGTCACATCGTCACCTGGAACAACAGGCAGCGCTCTCCTCCAGCGCAAAAGGGAAGTTGTATTCACTTGATATTTGTATCTGAGTGAGTGTGTGACTGCAGGAACAGGTGAAGAGACCGTCTTTATGGCTGTATGTGGGGTTTTTTTTGTTTGTTTGTTTACTTCTCTTTATGACACGAGGTGTGCGCGATGAGGCCTGGGAGGAAAAAGAAACTATCTACAGGCGCAGGAATCTACTGTCATGTTGGGGTAGACTTTCAGCACCACGTTCTTGTCCTCGTCAAAGAAAAGGATGCTGAGGGAAGACATTTTCTCGGGGACGCAGCACGGCTCGGGGATGCCTGGGACGACGCCCACCGCCCGCACTATGCTCTGGATGGTGGCGTGGTTAGATGGCTTCAGAGCCTTAAAAAAAGAGCAAATAAATGTCATTTTAAAGTAAAAGTTAAACAGGACATGTTTCTAACAAGCTGGGCCTTGTTTTCCAGAGTCACAGAAACCCAGAGTGATAGCAAATATTCACACGTACATTTATTTTTCCTTCTACCGAACATATTTGAAAGCGGAAAAAAGACATTCAAAACGTCCCCAAATTTATAACCCATTCAACAATATCAAACTTTACTTGTTGCTGAAGTTCTTCACATGTAGTTTTCCTATTTGCCATTTAAGATCATATATAATCTTATTTGTAAAGGGCATAGCAATATTATTCAGTGCAACTAGCATGCAGCATTGGCCGAAGGGTCTGTGGATCTGAATTTCAGTTCACCTGCACAGCTGCTTCATTCTCAACAGGAACCAGTAAGCGATAGAAGTCTTCCCACACCACTCCACAGAAAAAAAGTGCACCCTTTAATCATGGCTATTTAGAAGCTTCTAAAACTTCAACCTGACAAACGAGACAACGTTTTCTGCACAGGCTGAGCAGAAAAGCTGCAGGAGAGGGAGGCGGCTGCCTTAAAAGCCCTAGGCTCTACTTCTGGGACTAATTACCTCCGACTACAAAGACCTGTGACTCCGACTTAATGAATTAAGTGGATGTAGCTCGTGCATTCCGGCCATGTTTAAAATACCTGCGTGGTTATCTTATCACCGGTGCCACGAGCTAAACGGGAAGTTGATGTTTAACATCAGGCAGATGTTTTTTTGTGTCTCTCACTTATTTCCATCTTCTGTGTAAAGGCTTAACGTTATCCTCTGTAGAGACTTCCTTCAAGATACTCGTTGGTTTGTTTTAGGGAATAAAGTTTTTATTGAATTTTGATGAGGAGGTCACCCAGCTGTTTATTAGGACGCCGGTTTTCTTACTAAGATGACATCTGTAGCTTCACTATTACTGCAGGTTTAATATAGTAGGACTGCTTGGGCTAAATCTAGATTTACATCTGATGTGCATCTTTAAAGACAAAGACTGAGATACAATCTGAAGATAAAAGCATGAAGAACTATCTGCACAACTACTGTAACTACTTTAACCCTGCTGTTGAAGATTAAAGCCAATGACATAAGGCTTGCCTGTTATATAAAACAGAAAGATAGCAGGGACCTCTGAGGTTGATTTTACCCATGTTAAGTTAATGCAAAGCAGTAAAGAGACTGCTATCTGAATGTAGCCCGTCCTATTTACATAATGTATACCATACTGCAAAAAAAAAGAAAAAAAAGTTAAAGACTTATGTCTGCAGTCTTTAGTTACAGAGCCAAACAATTCTTACAGGGGTCGCTAAGCCAAGCCAATAATGTCCACGGCTGATGGCTCTAACTTTCAACTATTCTTATCACTTGCTTATGAAGGCATGACTGTCATTTAGGACTGCGTCATAAGGAATCATTAATAATCACCATGCAAAGAAATGGTTTTCAAAAAAGTTACTGTAGAAAAACAGAAGCTACTGGATTTAACTTTAGCTTAAAAGTATGGGGACGACCACCTAATGGGCTTCACTATTGTCAAGCAGCCAGAGTGGAGGCCATTAAGGATTTCTGCAAGTACGGAGATGGTTAAATGTCCTTTCCTTTGCCAACCAGCACCACAAATTCTGCTTGGATAGACAAATTATGTGCTTTTCATTATAGCAACTAAATAGACATCAACCTTTCAGAACCATTAGTAAATTCACTCTGAGACTTGCAAATGATAAAGTTGCAAATATGGGCTGCTGGTGCTAGCATTGCTAACGTTAGCCTCACACAGCACATGAATCTAGGGCAAAATACCACGTATATTTCTGCAGTATTTAAAATATGATGAGATTGCAGTGAGAGATTGGTTTCTAGTGGCTCTTAAATATTAGAAAATTGCCAGTTGTTTAAATGAGAGAAAAATAGTCCAGGTGATCAACACTTACAAACATTCAAAACTGAGACAGTATAACGGATGAGGTTAAGCATTAGCCATATATTTATTGTAGCTATGTTAAAGAGACATTTGTTAATCCCATTCTTTTCATAATGAAAATAGATTTTAAACTGCGGTGCTTAAAATCTGTGAACTGTAGAGACAGGAAGTTCAGTTAATTAGCAGTCTGGCTAGCAGTGCAGCCTAGCATTGGCCGGTTTCCATGGTTACATGTCAGTTTACTCTGACACAAAATGTATAACTACAAATTTTTTAAATATCTATATACTGCAGAACTATGTTGCTTTGCTAAGCTATCACAATTTTCCATTACAGACAGAAATAAATGTGCTATGACTGTTTTTTGTACTTTTAGACGTAGCAGTTTGTCTGATTTGTTTTCTCCAATTTAATCAGCTAGCAGATTATTCACCATCTTTAATGGCCATGCTTTATTGCCTCGGACCATCCTTTGGTTCTTTGCCCATGTAGAGGATATAAAGATAAGTTCTGCTCCTGCGGATCACCTGTAAGTTGCCTAAACTACTTTCATAAAACTTTTATCTGCACTATTAATATCAAAACAGAACAAAAACTAAATTTAACAAAAAAAACATTGGTTTTTGGTTTATTTATAATCTTCAGTTGTGAAAAAACAAAAACAGATGTATTATCTAGAGAGTATTGAATTAGTGCTACCATTTTAGGCTGTGATCACTTTAAAAAGAAAAAATCCATCTTAGCTCTCACAAGTGACCCATCTATAATGACGAACCAAAGATCAGCTTTCCCTCTTCATATAGCTAATTGGTAGAAATACTATAATTGCCACCGTACTGAGCTTTACCTTCTCTAACCCACTAATTTTTGCTTTGGTACCTTTAGTACTGTCTAAAAGCACTATAGTGTGGTGCTACCGGGCTTTGAATCTCACCTTTGGCATGGGGAACTGGCAGGACCCTGAGCAATAATAGGCATCAAACGACTTGGGCGATATAATCCATTCGCTCCATCCAATGTCGGCAAAGTCAACTTTCAGGTATCTCCGAGCGCAGTTCCTGGGCTCGTTCCACTGCTTCTTTCGCGCCTTTTTAATCGTCTGCTCATCAAACTGTAGCAAGGGCATCTTATGCCGCTGATTCTTGCGTGTCTTTTTACGCGGCCGGCGTGCCTGTTTGTTTTCAAATGGTTCGTAGGGAGTTGTCTCGTCCCAGCCGGTCGTCTCATATGGATACTCGGGACCGGGAAGTTCATTATTTTGCAAAGGTAGGAGAACATTCACCGAGCGCCTGTGTCTGGGCTGTGGCTGTCCTTCGGTGTCGTTTTGCTCTTGTAGTCCCAGTTTATGGAAGCCGTGTGAAATGGAGCCCTCACCTCTCACTGAGTGGGGCCTCTGGAGAGTAGCTACCACACTTTCAGGCTCTGAGATGGCAGAGTCATTGGCATAGACCAGGATGTAGGGTGAGCGGTCTGACAGGAGCTTCTTCCACGGCTGGGAACCTTGTGAAGCCACTTCAATCCCAATAAGCAGCTCGTCGTGGTGTTTGGCCTGGTTGACCACACGAGTTATGTCCTTCCACTGCCAAGATATGAAGTCCCTGTAGAGGGTGGACACATTGATCCGAAAATGTCCAAGAGTCCTCATCTTGTTATCCACAGATGCAAAGCTCCAGATGACCATGTGGATGTGGCTGTGCCTCCTGGGACCATGGCGAGCGCAGCTTTTGGACCTGGAGCAGCCCTGGGTGCTGTTCTGAAGGTCTCCAATGTAATAATGAAGAGTAGCTGACAGGATGTCTTCTGATTTGGTGAGGGAGGTGAGGTTGAAAATCTGCAGCTGTTTCTTGTTTATAGTACCTGTGCATATAATGAGTAATATCATGAACAGAGTGCAACACGGTTCACATCATTTCAAAAACTGACCAAGGCCTTTCCTAAACTTTACTGCTAGTAATAATAATTTATATGTTTGTATTTCCTTTTTTTAGTCCAGCGTTTTCATCATCGGGCTTATGTTGTGCACTTTTTTTGCTTAGGTCATGAAACAGTTGTTCACCCTAATGCAATAGAATTATTTGGGGATTTTAAAAAACGTATTAAAAAAATCATTAATTACAAAATATTTTTAAAGATCGGCAGGACACAGGACAATTACCCATGGAGCAGTTTTAACAGGCTTTCATTTTGAGGATTGCTTCAATCAAAAAGAAAATTGTCACTGTAAAGAAAGAACAGACCAGTACTTTAGAAGGTTTCTTTAACCTTTTAAACATGTCATTGCTTGCAACAACATAGCAGAAACTCCCACTTATCTCCACTGCTTTGGGATAAAAGCAGAAATTTCATGCAAAAACCAAAAACTCCAGCATGGCCAAATTCTTCTGAGGATCAATCGTGAAATATGTTTGTGATTTGGGTGAACCTGCCCTTTAATGCTATACCATACAGCAGCCGGGCGACAGGAGGCAGTGTAATCTAACAAAGTTTAACCCTAAGTGGCAACTGGTCGCCCCATGGTCCGCGTGATAATAACACAGCCAAGTGTAAACACTTGAGGGTTTATTGGATTAAAGTTACTATAAATGAACCTGAAGAAGAGGAAAAAAAGCTCCAGCTGAAAGGACATCAGCGCTCGCTGCAGTGGAAACTCAAACTCTGCTACAGCAGGCAGTCTGGGCAGCTGCCAGATGCTGGCTCCAGAGAAAATTTATCAAGACTATCTGACAGTAAAATCTGAAGGTGTGAACAGTTGTGCGGCCAAGCTATGTTAAATTGCATGCCACCATCTGATGCGAATCTTTTACTCTTACTGGCAAAAGGAATGCGTAACAGGTTGCTCACATTTCCATTACTGGATCAACAGGTGTATTTCTTTTCCAGCTCCGCACACATGAACGGCATCGGTCTTAACGAATTTTACATTATTCTCTATGAAATAAGACTTACTCAATATTATAGATGTTCTTTCTACTTTAAGTTTTTCATCTATAGATGGAAAAAATGTGCCGATTTGCATTTTTACTATGCAGGTGATTCAAGCTGATTGAGGCAAAATGGAAACATCACATAACATCAAAAGGCATGCCGGTCACTGACTTCTATGCTGGTAGAAGTCGGTGTTCTTAATATACATAAAACATTTGATACATACCCCAATGCGCTTTGAAACTACGAACAGTGTTGCCGTCCTTGAAGGGAAATCCAGCGCTGTTGTACTTCGCGTAAAGCATCTGCATGTGCTCCGTCATCGTATCCTGTAAAAGCGCATCCCGGTCTTCTTTTGTCGCGTATTTTTTATCCACCGAATGCGTAAAATCCACCTTTCGTCTCTCGGGGATATTGTCCGTTTTCAGCATCGCGCACAATCCAACGCACAAATAACTCCATCCGTAAAGCAGCACGATCATAAATCGAGAGTAGAGTGCCATGTTCGAGGCAAAGGAAACGTAGCAAACGAAAAAATAACAGCTGTGGAAAAACTAACACGTTTCCGAAAGTGGCCCCTATCTCCAGAAACACATACCATCACCTGAGTCCTCTGCAAGAAAATGACACCATCACCTTTGACACCGGTCACAACAAGAGAGGAAGATGCGTTATCCAAGTTGTCTCTACTTTTGATAAGTTGCAGGTCTAAATGTGTTTGAGTCAGTAAAAAGATAAAGATAAAAATAATAATGATAAAAAGGTTCCGGCGCGCAGGATGAGGTGTGAGAAAGCAGAGGGAGAAAAACTGCGCCTCTCCGACTCTAAGCTGATTTCAGGTCCAGCAGTCAGCCGTCCCTCAGTCTCAGCTTTCATTGAAGGTAAAGCATGTTGTGCTTGGTATTATAGGGCTTGTGGGACCAGCTGGGTATTCCTCTCTCCTTTCTCTCACACACACACTGCGCGCACACACGTACACATGCTCACCCTCAGAGAGAGAGGGGGAGAGAGAGAGTTTCCTGTTCAAAATACTTCTACGCACATTCAGCCTGGGGACAAATTATCTCGAATTATCTCGTTATCAAGAGTGGAAGGGGGCGTGTTTTGTCGGTTGACTCGAGACGGTGAGCGTGAAAATATTTTACTAAACGACATTCCAGAGGTTTATTGAACTGATTTCAACACCTAAACTGCTGCCAGAGAACAGCCCCTCCGTGCGTAATTTCTACTCCGCAGAGCTGCGCGTCTGGGCCGCGCTGCTGAATGAAGCGGCTTATTGTCGGAATTAAAGGCTTTCTTCCCTACTTAGTTTAGTTCAATGGAGTTAAGCACACACATCCTGTACCATCACAGTCCGATCCGGATGCATACTGTTCCCCGCCTTCCCCCCAAACAGCCCATCAGGCGGGGTTTGAACACCCCACCCAGTCGGCCTGCAGTCCCCCCCACCACTGGTCCTCTTTCAGGGGCACTCGGGAGGAAATGATTAGGGCATTTCCCCGCCCTTGGACATCTGATGGCAATAATATTAGCATGCCATGTCTTTCATAGCAGTCAACAGGCTGAATGACTTTAACGTCTTCAGCTGCTACCAGATAAGCAAGAAGCATCAGGAGGGGAGCGCGAAGGCTCTGCCTTCCATTCTACTTTTGGAAACTCTAGGAACCACAAGCAGGCCTTCACTCAGAGAGCAAAGTGCTCTATTGGGATATGAGATAATATGAGGTCTTTAAGATATGACGGGGCCTGATCATTTAGCACTTTGTAAGTTGGATGTTGGACAACTCTGGATTTAACTGTGAGCCAGTCCCTAAAGTGGACAGTGATTAAGAGTATTACTGTCCTCAATAATAAAACAGTTGTCAAAGGAAAAGAAAACTTATTCAAGTAAAGGAACTTACAAATGGTCAAATTCAACATGTATGTCCGTGACTGTTGAACTGGTGAGTTTTAACAAAGGTGCCCATGGTGTTTAACTATCCAAAGAAAAAACAATTAATTGACTTCTGTGCTGAAAGACACTTCAAATTATAAAGTATACTTGATACATCAAAGCTGATGTTCTAGATAGAAAAAACTTTGCAAACCCATGACTTTATAGATTGAAACAAATGTTCCAACAACACTTCAGCTATAATATTTAGTTTAAATCTATTTTTTTTTTAAAGTCAGTTCTGCAAATAAAACCCACATGAAGTGTCAGAAACTGCAGTTCCAGTTGTGGCCACTTGAGACTGGCCCCAAAAGTGAGTCAATCTCGTATATTTGCATATTAACATTCCCAAATTGATAGCATTAAAACAGATGTTTTGAATCTGGTTTTGGTCTCGATAGTTTCACCCTTTGTTAACATTATACAGGAAGGCTTTTAGGTATAACAACACAGGCGGCTCCAATCAGCAGCAGTCTGCTAGGCCACACCTCTGCTAATTAGACATTTTTATTGGGTTTGTATTTTTGGACAGGTGACATCCTTCTCAAGTTAGCGCATTCAAAAACTTGGGTGTCTACGCTGCCCACTCGCCCATCCAACTGGTGACAACAATAACCCGTCAGCCTTTTTGGCTGAGGGGAAAAAGTGGTTGTGTGTTTGAGTGAAAGCGCTGGATTAGGATTTAATTTGGAATTTATTTTTGCATGTCAGCAGCTATCAGTAGATTCACAAGGTTATTGTAATATCTGCATGCCAATATTAATCTATTAATCATAAGGTTGTTGGTAATGAGATGTCAAACACAATAATCTGTGAGTGAAAACTACACAAAAAGACATCAAACTGAGGTGAAACTGAGCTTGTTTCATAGAAAAGACTGAATTGTGTCTCTGCTGCAGTTTGAATCCACCTCTTTGCCTCAAGTTGTGCATAGTAGGGGCAAATCAGACCTCTAACTAATGTTTTAACATTAGGGGTTTTAACGCTTCAGGTAAAACCCCAACAGCTTAAAAGCCCAATAAAGGAAATGAAGGGGAACATTACTGTTTAACCTGGACTTTATTGTGAAATCATCCCTGTTTGCAGACATGATCTGGGTGGATTCCAGTAATCGTTTTAAATGCTGTCTTCTACAGAGGTAAGGCATTCAAAGAACAACCAACGCATTTCAGATGCAGTGCCCTTGTTTGCCTGTTTGTTTTAGATGGCCTTTTTCCCGTCTTGTGCACATCTGCTGTTTTCATTGGAAGGTATTTGGAACGACTGATGCAACTTTCAGGGTGGGAGAGAGAATAAAGCAGCCAGTTCCATCGCCATTACCTGGCCACATAAACGAGCCGTGGCCTGTAAACCTAAACAGCTGTAGATGAGGGTGAAGTGTTCATTTGCTGCCCGACTTCTCATTTCCAAACACAATTACAAAAAAAATATCTCCAAACTGAAAACAGAAAAAACAACAACAAATAACCAAGTAGTGAGACAGGCAGGTGGAAGGTTTCTCAAGGCAGGTTAAATATGCTGTTCAACAAGGCAGTCAACAGAGAAACCAGGTCTGAATATACTTCTGCTACTTAGGTTGTAGTTACAGCAAGAAACAAAAAGCAGTTTACACACCAGCAACCACAAATAGATGATAAAAAATACATAAAACTGCACGAAAACATGTTAAAGACTGAAAATAGGCATACCCTACATTCCCAGCTGTGTCACTTTTATAACTCCATCAGACCTTTCACCAGCTTTGCTCACGATAACCACAAAAACAGGCCCAGAACTCCTATCGTCTTTAAAAAAGGGAAGGAAAAACGAAAGAACAGTAATGATTAACAACCCCAAACCAGACCGTCATTTCCCTAACCCCGGTTTTTACAGAACCACAGCCCAAATAGCCTTGTCACCACACATATTATTTCAATGAGGACAACAGGGTCCAATTCGGTGAAAACAAACAGATGCAGCAAGTGGAAGGCTTCTCTGTTTGTATTAGAATCAACTAATTTGTTTGAAGCTTGTGACTTTCAGGGGAAAATAGGTGATAGATTAGTAATGAGAAAATTAATATAAAGATGAGATAAATGTGGAGGTGACAGTGTGAGCTTAAAGGCTCAGCTGTTAAGGAAATAAGCTTATTTGATTTGCACGTCTGTGCAGCAGATAAATGTTCAGGTACAGGTTCAGAACAGCCACTCATAAAACCCCAATCCTAACCCCTAGCCATTTATTTATTTGTGCGTGCATGTCTGGATTAATTAACCAAGATTTAATGTGTTCATTAGTTACCTTTGGTAGGTTCTTGATTTGAATCTCCTGGCTGGCTGAGGCCTCTCTGTGTGGAGTTTGCATATCACTGTGCCTGCGCGGGTGTCCTCTGGGTAGTCTTCTACCCTCAAACTCGCTAGTTAGGTTAATTAGTGACTCCAAATTGGCTGTAGGTGTGGATGTGAGAGTGTGTGGTTGACTGTCCCTCTGTTAGGCCTGTGACGGACTGATGACCTGTCCAGGGTGCACCCTAAATCTCGCCCAGTGAACGTGTTTAGTCCAAAAAAGGACTAAACACAATAAACAGAGGTAGATAAGTCTGAGAAGCAGCATTACTGCAATCCCCCCCAAATTTTCTACATGCATCTTTATTGTGAATTCTTCTGAACACATTTATCATACAATGGAAATCTGATTATGTGACATTCCTAATGCCAATGTGATTGAGATCTAAGCTAATCTAAATCTCAAAAGCAAATAAGTGGATCTTAAATATATTAAAAGAAATAATAGAATGGTTCACTCATAATTTGAAAAACACACACACAAATGAAAAAAACAAACAGGATACTGAACTTTCTAGTTAGTGTACAACAACGTAAGTGTACAACAATAACCCAGGACATGTGCAGATTGAGTCAGCAGAAAGTACAGAAAGCAAATTTATGAACTAATAAAGACTCAACTTCTAGATTTAGATACTGTTACAAAAAACAAATAATAATCCTGAAATTAAAGGGATTTAAGTTACCAAAAGCCCTCTGAGAAAATAATTAAAAAATGTCATAGTGAATGACTAATATGTAAATGATAGGGCACTTTGATGTCCCGTAACGTGTGCCTTGCATCTGGAAACATACGGAATGCTTTAAGCCCATTACCCACTCTTCCAGTCCAATTGGAGCTACCGCAGCCTGGGGGAGGACATGAAAGCAACCCCCATCATCTTTCAAAGCTCTTACGCCTTTAATTTGTTTAGACAAACAGCCCAAAACATGCCAGACCAAATGATGATACGAGCCTGGGGTCTCTGAGCAGGTTCTTGCCCCTAACTAACTCTGCTTGCTTGGGTAAGTGCCAAAAGCACAGCCAATCCCGACCTGGATGGAACAATTTAAGGCCAAAGTTAGACATAAAACCCCAGAGTATTTGCAAAGACACTTCCAAGTCGTCACACGAGTCCATCAACTTCATCCTCTGGGATTCCTCAGTTTAAAGCCTTTTTTTTCCTCCACTACAACACCTCCACCCAGATGGCATGCATGATATGAGGGGAACAGTGTAAATGATGGTCCAACTACAGCAACTCAGTCAAATTAGAGGCTTCCAGTGCTCTCCAATATGTGCCATATGTATGCAAGTGTTTGCGACGGCCTGTGAAGCTTAGACTGTCCTGACGTTGTGGTCGTAGATGACAACATGGATGTAGATGTCCGACTGCAGGAATGTCCTGTTGGAGTCCTCGCCAGGACCAGACTGAAACCCAGCACAGAGAAGTTAGTGGTGCTTGTTTGGGGGTAGTGCTGTCTACAGTCTACAATCATGCATTCAAACGCAAAGCAAAAAACGAAACATTTGTGCTGTTTTTGACTGGTCTCATGAATTTTCAAGATCTCAAGACATGTTTTCAGAAGCTGTATAAGAAAAGATGGATGTGGCTTCCGTTTGTAAAAGTGAAGCCAATGTGGACAACTCTAAAATCTGCACTCTCTCTAATGGCCAGCAGGGGGCATTAGACAAGGAGTCAGATTCTATAGAAGTCTATAAGAAAAGGCCCCTACTTCTCACTTGATTTATGACATTTTTAAGGACTTTCTGTACAAATGTAAGATCTCAATTTATTCAAGTCTTGTTTAGTTGTTTAGTTTAAAGTTTTCTGTTTTTTTTTTAGAACAAAAAAGGTGAATTCATGAGACTTTTTAAACATCATCTTTTTAACTTTTTTCTGCATCAAACCTGCATCATTTAGAACCAAAACTGTGAGCTAAAAGAAGCTAAAATCTTCAAATAAATACAGAGTTGCTATTATCGGTGGTTTTAGAAATACCAAAGATAGCTTTCCAGTGCATGGAAATATTAGCTTCAGTGTTAAATTAACAATATCTCTTACTCCATACTGAAAATGTGACAGCTGCCACAGAGAGAGTATGTTAGCAATTAAACAAAACCGCACATCTCTAGAGCACACCTCTTTATAATAGCAGGTATATTAAAGGGGAGGCCAAGTGCTGCATAGTTTGACAGTGACTGTAACTGTTCATTTTCCAAGATGTTTTGTGTTACTTTGGCTGTCAAAGCTGACACAGCCCCACCACTAAGATGTGAAGCCACTACCAGCTGGGAACATTTATTTAAGGCTAAGTGTGTCAAAAGCTTCTGGAGGGAACGGAACCATAGCGAACCATTACACTCAATTTACACTTTTACCTAAGCCACACTTGTGGGTGTCCTAATAACTGAGACAGTCTTCCTCTGCAAGTTGAAAAGAGCATCAATAAAAATAAGCCAATAAACCTGATGTCACAGACACACTGAGAGATAATGGGAAATGCTGCTTAAGGCCAAGCAGAAACCAAAAAAGAAACCAAACAGTGTCATTAACACTCACATTTAAATTCATGTCAGCTTACCCTGTTCTTCAAATTTGAGCATCAAGGGTTTTTTTTCTCTAACTTTTACTTTGCCAAGCCAATCAAGCCATTGTCATAACTGAAAAATGACAACCCCTCCACCCCAACCCACTTTCTGGCAGGGATAGAAAAGCGGTCATGGAATGACAAAGGCAGAAAAACAAACAAGCCACCCCAAACGAGTTGATGTGAGCTTTGATTTTGGAAGGTTCTCCGGTGGCTCTAAGGCCACATGAGCAGCTAGTGAGCTCATGGCGGGTTAAAGGCCGGATGGTTCTGTGCTGCTCCGCGTTGAGCCAATCTGGGCTGAGCTGAGCTGGGTTCTGGGCACACGGGTGGTTTGCTGTGTCTGGCTCCCAATGCCTTCGCTTGTGTTTTTAATAGACAGCCTGGCTGGGGCGGTGCTCGACCACAGCTAGAACACTGTGCTGCCATTTTGGCGCTTGGCCTCAAAAACGCAGTCCCCACAGCTCTGTCTGCAATTTCAAAATAGTCCAGCCCCACCAACTACTTCCCTACCCCCCAGCAAAGAAGGAAACTGGAGAGAAAAAAACATTAGGGAGTCGTTATTCTTCCAGGGCCCCTGTCAGCCTTTGAGTGTAGAGGAAGCACCTGTCTCGACCACTTGATCCTCCCTTCTTTGTGCAGGTGGAACACAAATATCTTTCCCTCCCACTGATTTCTTTATCTCTCTCTGTCTCCCCAACCTCTTCTCTGAGAGTGCAGTCTCTGAAGTAACTTGTGACTAGTTGAAAAATAAGCGATTTTCTTTGGAACATTTGCAGTTCGTTAAAATGGTGCAACAAAGTAAAAGGTGTTAAAGGTAACAAGAGATATTGGAGGTGCATCACAGTCATCTGAGCCAAAAGGACAACAAAATCTGTTTTCAGAAGCAGTCTGTTGTGCAGCAAAAAGGATTTAGAAAAGAGCCTTTGCCCTAAAGCCCTTTTTTGCTCCCCTGAGACATTTTTACTGCGATGGAACAGGTGACCGGGTCTAATTAGCAGCACCATTTGTCTCCCTAGGTTTTAAAACCAAAGCAGGACAATAACAACAGCAACACAAAAACCTACCAAAGGGTCCAAATTCAGAATCTTTTTGTCCATCTTGTTCTTAAAGAGAAGGCCGTTAGGGTCGTCATAAATCACCTCAAAGTTCGGGCTCGAGTTGGAAGTGGACACTTGCGTCTTCCAGTTGTAGTAGCTGTAAAAAAGAGGCAACAATAAATGTAAGATGATTGGGGTCATTTTATTTAAAGCTTGAATATCCTTTATATAAGGATTTTATATAATCACATGGGGTTACTGCTGCACTGATATACCGCTGGTTTTCCCTGAGGCCAGCTGGAAAGTGTTGCAATCTTGGCAGCAGCCGATGCCTGTGCGGACAGTGGAAGATGACTCCAACTTAAACATGAAGGCACAGCTACCATCATGTTTAAGTGTCTTAAAGAAAACCAAAAGGGCTGGCATTACCCACCAAACCACCTGAATCCACTTTAGTGATGATCATTTTTGGGAGCAAAGGTATCTCAGGAGGTATTGTTTTTGGAAAGGCAGAAGAACATCTGGCACTTTTTGAAGTGACAAAGTATGGGAATGTAACTTATGAACCAGTGTTTTCCATTCTACTCACTGTCCTTTTGGGCTTCTGTTTTTGCTTTGAAGCTGCACAAGCGTTGTGCTTAAGACCTCATTCACATAGGCCTAGAGACCTGTGCATAGAAATGCCTGGAGACATCCTGGAAACCCTCAATTGGTAGGCAAGAAAGGTGCATTTCCTGATTGCTTGTGAGTAGTTGACTGAATCTGCTGGGTGTCACTAGGTGAAAAAGGTCACAAAGAGGGTACTGCGCCTAAAAACTTGTGGCGACTGCTTTGGTCTTTAGCAGAATGCCGTGGTTGCCTGTAGTCTATATAGAGGAAAATGACTTGTCTTCAAACTCTCACTAACTACTGCTAACTTTGACTTTGAAGACAAATGCTCTCCATGTTGTCCTCTTTAGCATATCTGCAAACACTTAGTACGTAGTTTGCAAGTAGTTGCAGACACTGTGGCATGGTCAGTATAGCTACACACAAATGGGAAAATCTGTTAATGACCTAAGCAAATGCAACAAGCATTCTGGTGCAGCATCATATACTGCTTTGTGACCAATTTCACCTAGCAACAGCAAGAAAACTCCAGCAACCACTCACAAATAGTTGGGGAATACAAATTTTTCCCTACCGACCAAGACGTTTGTCAACTGGTCTCTAAGCCTGTGTGACTAAAACACAGTTTTAAAGCATGTAGGAGGTAATTTATAGCACTTGGTGGGGAGTGCCGTGACTTTTCTTTTGGAAAATAAAACTAATATGCAGGTCTGAACTAAAATGAAAAACAACAACAACAAAACGAAAACAGTCATTATGACCATTTCTTCTGCATGACATCTTTCCACGAACTCTGTAAATAATTTTTTTAATTTGGGCATTTTTTTAGATTGGTTAGGCAGCATATTTGCAGCATTACTAGAAATAATCATCAAATCAAACAGTCAAAAGTTGAAAGCAGCATTGGAAAGTCACAGAGAGTGATCTCTGCATGACAAGAACACTGTAATACGTTTTATCTTAAATTGTCAAATAATGACTTCATATGTTACAAAGAAAAAAGAAAAGTATGAGAGTAGAACATTTTTTGCATGACTTTCTAAGATTTTATTAGGAGGAAGCGACTGCTGCGTAGTCCTAGTGGTGCGTGCTACTTGACCCTCTGCTTTGTTGTGGAACATTTCTCTTTATAGGCTCACGCAGCAGGAGGCCTTAAAATAAAGAAAAAGGACTTTGAGGTCATGACTTACCATGAGGGATAAAAAGAATTGATGGATTTCAGAGCATTTCACAGCCACCATTATTATATTATTATTCAACAACAGGTTATAAAAGAACTCTGTTTTACAGAAAAGAAAGAAAAGCAACCTGCAGAGTAATGCAACTTTTATAATAGCGAGAAGTCTGTTTCCAATTTGATCTCTGGGATGCTGTTTGTGGGTTCGCCAAGCCAGGCATTAGAGTAAAGCTGGGACTAATAAGCAAGTGAAACCAAAGACAGGTCTCAATTCCAAAATAAATGACTGATTAATTTACAGCATCCGACTGGATCCTGCTCTGCTTTTAAGTTTTCTG